TCTTCTGCTCAACCTTTTCTATGCTTGTATGCCCTTTCTGAGCTGATATAATACCCCTCAAAAGTAAGGATGAGCTATAGGGCCTTGTGGCTCTCTTTAGTGGCCCTATGTAAATGGGTATGCTTTAAGGCTTTGTCAGAATTTGGCTGCTGCCACCACCTCACTTTATTTTTACATCTAAGGGATATGTCAAATTTGTCTACTTGTCTTCTTTAAGAAGCATTGACTGTAGATCAATGAAACTTGGTACATATAGGGCAGTTGGAAATTGTTAGTTTCTTACAATTGGAAAAGGTTATGATTGACCTATGTATGTAGTCAGGGTCAAAGTGAAGGTCATTTACAAAATATGTTTGTCAATTTCACTAGAAAGCAGAGTATTATGCAGTGGTAATTATTGTTTGAATGATATCAGAAGTAGGTCCATGTGATCTACTTTCCATGAGTACCATAATGCAATGCCGTTTTTTAAACCATGTACTTTTGTTACAACCCTTTCAATGAGAAGGATATGCCAGTTTTTCATTGTTATGCTGAATTCCCCTTGGAATTCTGGATAGCCTGTTGAAATGCTCTTGAAATACTTGTCTCTGATATTGAAGGACAATTTACTCTAGAGGTCATACATATAAATATATATTATTTTAAGAATACCTCAAGAAGTGTTCCTTTTAGTATAATGAAGTTAGGGTATTGGTTTAGTTAGGTTTTGAAAGTCAGGATTATTGGAATGGTCATTCATAATGTACTTCTGGCTTTGTGTACGCCTTGTAGCACACATGTTTATAACTAGAAATGATCAAGCATTTGAAATGGAGGGTCAAGGTCATTAAACCATAGGTGCATATAACTTTTTTTATGAATGTGGCAAGAGGCACTAGCCTTTGTTTTACCCATACTACTGCTGATGGCATGCATTTCCCCAACCAGAAGTAATATAATTAAAGTTTGAAAGGGGCATACAAAGGTCTGTTTTAAATTTCTTTCCAAACCACTGGTTTGGTGGAAGTCTGTTTCTATTGGGAGGTGGACTTCGAGGCAGGTTGTTTTCTGGTGGAAGTTTAGTTCTATTCGGAGGGGACAGGAGGACATTGAGGCAGGTTGTCTACTGGTGGAAGTCAGTTTCTATTGGGAGGTGGACGTTGAGGCAGGTTGTCTAGTGGCGGAAGTCAGTTTCTATTGGGAGGTGGACATCGAGGCAGGTTTCCTACTGGTGGAAGTCTGTTTCTATCCGGAGGTGGATGTCGAGGCAGGTTGTCTAGTGGTGGAAGTCTGTTTCAATTGGGAGGTGGACGTTGAGGCAGGTTGTTACTGGTGGAAGTCTGTTTCTATTGGGAGGTGGTTGTCGAGGCAGGTTGTCTAGTGGCGGAAGTCTGTTTCTATTGGGAGGTGGACGTCGAGGCAGGTTGTCTACTGGTGGAAGTCTGTTTCTATTGGGAGGTGGATGTCGAGGCAAGTTGTCTAGTGGTGGAAGTCTGTTCTATTGGGAGGTGGACATCGAGGCAGGTTGTCTACTGGTGGAAGTCTGTTTCTATTGGGAGGTGAATGTCGAGGCAGGTTGTCTACTGGTGGAAGTCTGTTTCTATTGGGAGGTGGACGTCGAGGCAGGTTGTCTAGTGGCGGAAGTCTGTTTCTATTGGGAGGTGGACGTTGAGGCAGGTTGTTACTGGTGGAAGTCTGTTTCTATTGGGAGGTGGTTGTCGAGGCATGTTGTCTAGTGGCGGAAGTCTGTTTCTATTGGGAGGTGGACGTCGAGGCAGGTTGTCTAGTGGCGGAAGTCTGTTTCTATTGGGAGGTGGACGTCGAGGCATGTTGTCTACTGGTGGAAGTCTGTTTCTATTGGGAGGTGGACGTCGAGGCAGGTTGTCTAGTGGTGGAAGTCTGTTCTATTGGGAGGTGGACATCGAGGCAGGTTGTCCACTGGTGGAAGTCTGTTTCTATTGGGAGGTGGACGTCGTGGCAGGTTGTCTACTGGTGGAAGACTGTTCTATTGGGAGGTGGACGTTGAGGCAGGTTGTTACTGGTGGAAGTCTGTTTCTATTGGGAGGTGGACGTCGAGGCTGGTTGTCTAGTGGTGGAAGTCTGTTTCTGTTGGGAGGTGGACGTCGAGGCAGGTTGTCTACTGGTGGAAGTCTGTTTCTATTGGGAGGTGGATGTCGAGGCAGGTTATCTACTGGTGGAAGTCTAGTTCTAATGGGAGGGGACAGGAGGACGTTGTGGCAGGTTGTCTACTAGTGGAAGTTTAGTTCTATTGGGAAGTTACGATACCCAAAAAACATGATAACGCATGCACCGTCTTGATACACATCATTCTTGTATTTCTCTACGATTACTGACATACACCTAGATGGAATTGTGTAATAGTGAAATCTTTTGTGGTGGACATTAGAAGATATCAGGGGTATAGACACAAAAACTGAATCAGCTGAGGAAATTGTTTCGCTGTGACATTGAGAGTAACATAAGCAGGGGTCTGTGATCTCTGGAAAATGGACAAACTTGAACAAGGTGCAGTGATCAGTGATCAGTTGACTCATGTTTTGGGGAATATACTTCTATCGGACATGTAATGTCTAATACAAAATATTTCAGTATTACACAATTCCTTCCTTGTAAGGCTTTGAAATTATCAACCAACCACCATATGCTGGTCACAAAACAGTGTCTAAATCAGTAATACGAAGTAATTCAGAGGATCGTAAGACCCTGTATAAGCCAGTAATACGATGGTAACTCAACTCTTGAATCTGGGAAAGGGGTACACGTTGATAAATAAAAGAAAGAGTTACTTGTTCTTGCTTGCTAACAAGATGTGCGAACCTCCGTTCAGCAGCCCCCAATACGTCCTTAACGAGAGTATTGTCGGTGTGACTTGGTCGACCAATCAAAACATCAACATACCTTATGCTGTAAAATGCTAATAAGACATGAGGAAAACCATCACTACCCTATGTAAAAGGCTGTAGATAAAGTTGGGAACAGAACCGGAAATGAGGTGGTATTCACCCCACTGTCTAAACCGTTCATAATCGGAAGTAGAGGACTTAGATTTTGAAGCCTGAACAGCTCAGTTAAAGGGGCACTGATCTAACGCAATTCCCCGGGACTGGTTGTTGCCTTTGTTATTGTTTTTTCCCAGTGAGTACCCGGATGTATAGCAAAAATCTAGACTAGTTCGCGACCTCTGCTGCGCTATTCGTAAGCGCATTAGTCACTTTTATGGGTAGTAATAAGGGCGTATGGTCACACTGATCAACAAAATGAAATACAGTTTTCGAGATAATAAGGAAATGTAGGTATCTTTGCGGGTAGCATCGGTAATGGTGACGAAATTTTGATAAGTCACTTGCTTGGTAATTTTGCGATTTTCGTTTACACTATTTTGACTTGCAACACAAAGTAAATATTTCACCTGAGCATTGCTTTTTTTTTATAGTGTGTATATTTTTACTGTCAAAATGTGTAACATTTTCAAATTTATTAAACGCCTTAATATTCAGTTATTTTACAAAGTGACTGAAAAACATTTCCATCTGTATTATTATGATAACGAATTCCAAACATTTTGATGTTTAATGTCATCACCAAGAGACTGAAAATGTTACGTTGAAAAGTACATTTCTATGTTGTTTGGCTTCTAATCCAACATAATAATCTGTTGTGATGTTGTTAGGCCCTTTTGATCGTCTTAATCAATTTTAGTCAATCTGAAGAATTTCCCAACCAAGACGTAGAGGAACAAGAACGAATCGGTTCAATGCTACAGCGAATGAAGGAAAACAAAATGCAAATACCATAATTACAACCTACCAAATTTATGTGTATAAACTTTGGGCAGCTTCCTTGTTCGAGGAATGTATCCGTGAATATCCACACAAAGGAACAATATCCCAAACGTCTGCAGCTGTACAAAGAAACTTATTCGATGTCACGTGTCTCTGTAACAATCAAATATTTTTAAAGATATATATCGTTTCGTGATATTATAACCCGTGTTCCTTTCTCGACTGATCACTTAGATTGTTTCAGGTGTTTCACATAGGTGTCAAGTCTCAAGGGTCGGCTGAGAAAGCCCACGTGACAACTATTTTCATAACGTCCATGGTTCCCCAAAAATCCATTGAGTGATAGATAACAATGATCAATCAATCAACGTATTATCAGTTAACCCTTTGAACAAAGTATGTTTGTTTTTACATCGGCACTTCACGCCATGATATGAGTGTATTCCCTTTGTTTTAGTAAACCTAGACATGTAAACACTCACTTTTGACATATCCACTGTGCGAGATAACAGTGATTAATCAATCAACGTATTTTCTGTTAATCCTTTGATGACTAGGAACGATCCGTTGATTTACAAAAAAAGTAAATGAACTGATCATTCACCTCTTGCTGGGCTGCCACGTGCATATTACATAACACACATTTCACCTCACTTCAAACCTGGATTTAGATTGAATAATTACCCCAGACACAATAAATGCCAAATGGGAACCTTTGTCAGGTAATCTTAGTGGTGCTACCACTAATTGTACCTGTAATAAATTCATTAACTGAGCATCAAGTGAATGACGACAAATACACAAGTGTAGGGTTATACCTGAAAACGTGGATGACAACAAGTGAGTAGTCATCGTATTATCGACGCAATCCGAAATCCGAAAATGCTTTCACTGCATGGATACTTTTTTTTATTATTAAACTATAACCATCTGGGGTATTTCCAAATGACGGCATACGATGAGCTCCGCCGTTCTTTTTGTCTGTTTGTTTAGGCTGAAGAAATTTAATTAACATGCGCCTTTTGTCGAAATCTTTATAGTTCACGGTTAAACTAATCAGTGTTCAAAAATGCGTAAAACAAATATTGCCTCCAGCCTCCAAGTTTATTTAGCTGTCCTTGCAGACGGTAGCCCAGTCTCTGGTCACGCTCAGTTGCGTTGCGTATCATCCGGGTACTCCCAGGGAAAAAACAATAACAAAGGCAACAACCAGTCCGGGGAATTGCGTTAGTGCTATCACTGGTTTTTTACTTTCTGGAAGAGTGGATCTCACGTAAGCATTAACACTTTCCAACACGCCTGAAATGAACAAGAAAATACAGAGTATGAATACACATCAGACTGAAAAATCTATCCAGAGTACAAACATCAAATCCTGGAGACCAAATAGCTCACATCCACAACGACTTGGAACGTATGCTTCCTCATACGAAGGTATACATACTAACGGAAAGAAGTAACTCCGCTTGATATAAAGTTCAATAAAAATAATTATGTTTAGAAATTAAATAATGCATCTTTCGCGCGGCGCGGTGCACAATTTGGATGTTTGCATGTTTATTGTGAGGATGATACCACGTGTTTTCTTAATGTGAAAAGCACACAATGATTGTTTAGCTGTCAGGTGCTGATACAATTTGCTAGACATTTTTTATTCTGATATGACACAATATCATCTCTGTGGAGACGTTATCCACAGTAGGGCAACACTCATGACTTGCCAGGATCTGGTCGTCCACGTGTGACGTCACGTCAACCATATTCGGCTGGTGAAAACACAATTCATCATCGTTGATGACAATTTGAATGGCGTACACTACCGGGACGACATCGTTTGAGATCATGTTCTACCATTTGTACAAATACAAGAACGTAATGTCACGTTGCAGCAGAGTAGAAGCCGCCCACACGTGTAAGAGACTTTGTTAGTCGGAATAACAATTGCAGTGCTTCCCTAGCCTCCAGAACTTCCCCCCCATAGAACGTGTCTGGGATGCGATAAAAATTATGCCTACGACAGGAACAGAAATCTGTACATACCGAACTAAAATGTGAAATCAGTAAAACCAACAAGATCGATATCAAGGGATAATTAAAGTAGATTGAAACACCCATAGTTAGGATTACAATCACAAAAGTCCATACGATGGGAAAAATTCATGGCAGCGGCTATGAAAATACAGGCCCTATTACAAGGTCAGTGCACGGTGCAGTCCAGAATTTGTCACAGTCGATTGTCTTGAGTGAAGCACATGCTCTCTTCTTGAATCCAGAAAACGTGTTGGAAGCAGATAAGTATTCTGTCCGCATTGGGCAGGTAGATCAGACGCAGGTCAGGTCGTAGAACGCCTCGAATCACCATCATCTCGCTTTATATAGGTAGTCAGTCTTCTAGAAACTGTAACGTCCCCAACAACAACTAAGGCAGGTAACACTATATTACAAGGGCGGTTTCTGTCGCAAACTGTCAATAATAACAATCTGGAAACGAGAGCACTTGGTATTTTACTAGCGCTTCATTCATTTGCAGCCACTTACAATCAACACTTTGACGTGTAATAAATATTAAATGAGCATAAAATGCATGTTTCAATTATTCAGACATCATGATAAAATTACATAATTTGCTTAGTTTTTTATGATTCTGAGTTTTAATAACTGTTTGTTTGTTTATTGCTTAAAGCCGCACTCCGCAATATTCCACCTATATGATGGCTGTCGGTAAATAATCGAGTCTGGACAGGACAATCCAGTGGTTGACATCATGAGCATCAATCCATGTAATTGGGATACAATGACATGCATCAACCAAGTCAGCAAGCCTGACCACCCGATCCCGTTAGTCGCCTTTTACTACAAGCCTAGTCGACTTTTAAGGCGCATAGGTTGCCGAAGACCTATTCTACCCCGGATCCCGGTCTTTTGTTCAATGAAAAAATAACATAATTGGTTGAACTGAATAACATTTAGGTGGATATATCGTACGTTCAGAGTAAAAATATGGATATACAAATGTAATGATATTCATCTGCAATGTCGGATAGATTGCAAAGAGTACATTTACGCTCTGGCAGGGGTAATATATTTCCAAACTTCACTTGGTAAGCGGTAACAGGAAGTCCGAAAAAAAGTGAAAGGCCAAATGTAGAGGGAATTAAATGAGATGGTAAGTAGCTCTATTTGAGGAATTTGAAAAATCCTCGAATCATTAAATCCTGATTATATTTTAAATCTGAGTTAGTCTTTCCAATGCACCTTGTGACTCCTTCGTTTGCTGCCTCTTACTATCAACTACTGCCTATAACAACGTTTACTGCCTCAGTAATACTACCTTTGTCTATAACAACTATATTGAGGTTATATATACACCTGGTGGGAACCTAGAAACTACAGGAAGCTATGCAACACCATGAAGACCGCCTTGAGCTTACTCGCGATGTGGAGCTCAGCTCCATTTTCGTCTTTGACCTCTGTCCATGGAACACCTTTTCAAACTGAACACATAAGGCACCGAATCCCGTGCTACTGGCATCACTATATACTATTCTTGTAGGAGGACTACAAGAGCACAAATTCCCAGAGTTTAAACGACACATATTCACAAGCCAAAAGCTACGTTGTTATAAACTCAGGATGTAAGAAAACCTTGTTATTTCCCAAACGTTCTTGAAGAATATCAGAAATCAATGGCTTGGTCACTAATTAACGGAGCCAAAAACTAACTCCACTGCAGTAATCTGTCAAATCAGTGATTGATATACGACCAACAGGAATCATTTGACCATGGTTCACTATTAAGTTAAGTTGTTGATACACTGAGACACTTAAGTTAGTTTTCGTTTGGGACAGTGACTTGAAAACAAAGCCACCCAAACTTTCGAGACAAAACCTGACTGAACCTAATTAGGGTTGTGTATTAAGCCCGTTTCTTTTCTCCTTTTTCCTCAATGAATTTGTTCTTGAAACTGATTAAATCTGAAAAATTACATACAGTTATATCCAGATCTAATATTTAATATTCCTTTATTTTTTGTTCTTTTCTCTGATTCGATAATTCGCCTTGAACGCCAAATCAACATTTTGGAATTATATTGTAACAAGTTGTCACTGTCCGTCAATCTAAATAAAACTAAAGTTTTTGTTTCTAAAAACGGGGGGAAATTAAAGAAATGGATATACAAAGATGCAGATAAAGAGCTGGTTCCATGTTTTACTTACCTTGGAATATTGTTTACGAGGACTTTGAGTTGGAATGAATGTCTACATTCAACATCTGTTGATGTCAATCCTGCAAAATGTGTTAAAATATGACAATCTGCCCTGTAATTTATACTTTCATTTTTTGTTATATAAATATAATGTCAATTTTACTTTATGGAGTGTAGGATTATGGAAAATATTGTCGTATATAAATAATTCGTCTTAATGCATAAATGAAGTTCGATCCTCCATCCCAAATGGTATTGTACTTGGGCATGTGTCAGTATATCTTTTCGCTTAAACGCTGTATAAATATCTGGTTAAAACTAACGACTCTTCCATCCACGCGATACCCAGTAAAGCCTACATCATGTTGGTCTACCTCGATCAATAGGCCAGTCACTCACGCAATAAAAAATTACCCTTTTCAGTTTAGGGCTTGGATACACATGGATGGATCAGGGTGTTGGAAATGTCAAAAAGTTTGTCATTGGTACTCCAAAGAGCTAATGATTGTTTTCAGCAAATTCGGATAGAAAAATTAAGAAATAGCAAATGTACATATACCTATTCTCTCTTCAAACATGAATTAATACTCGCAGAATATATAGTTTATGTTACAATAAAAAAGGCTCGCTAGCTAAATTCAGAGCAGGTTATTATGATTTAATGATGTATAAAGGCCTTTATCAAGAGTCTAACAACATATGTACTGTATATATTGTAATCTTAATGTTGTAGAAAATCAATATCATTCTTGTGTGTAAGCTCTATCTTCAGTTAAGATACAAATATATTCCAAAGACGTTTACATCTTATCCAAATACTCATGCATGCTCATGTCAAACTCAAATGTTTCTCAATTGAAAATATCGCATTGTACATGCATCATGCATTCTTACAAAACACACACGCATAACTTGTAAACATGTTGAACTATGGGCCCATATGGCCTCTTAGTTGGCCAGGAAAAACAGTTCGAATCAAATCATTGTTGACTTTAACATCAAGGAAGTTGAAGCAGGTTGTCTACTGGTGGAAGTCTAGTTCTGGATGGTTGTTGACAGATGAAAGTTGAGGCAGATTGAAGGAGGTTACTAGGCGATTCATTTTTGTCATCAGGTGCGGACAAGGAGTCCAGACATCTGAAATGTAAGAAGTTAGTTCCATAAATAGTTGGCGGATTCAACACACGTATGCCATCTTTTAGAATCTTTTAAATTTTGACCTTGATCATGCTCTTAAAATCTCTGAATACATTGGCTCTGTAAACTTCTCCTTCGAAATTGTCAGATCTGAAGGAGGTGAGTTTTGGCAGCTAGGTTTCTCCACATGATGACATCATATGTTGTTCAGATCATTAGATTTTATTATTATTATACTTTTTGTCAGTATTTATGCAGAAAATATTTGATTATCAATATTGATAGCAAATTGCATTACATCTTTATTAATATGTTAAACTGTTAACTATATATCCAGGTGAGCTACAGTGATGTAGCACTAGTTTTTACAATTTATCTTTAACGTTGTTCACTTTAACGCCATTCATACGCGTTTAGGATAATAAATATTTTAGTGAATGTAGTTTTAGCCCGCCCTTAGCAATATTCCTGCCAGGTCACATTGTACCCATATGGGGAATTGAACCCTGGTCTCTAACGTGATAAACTTACAGATTAAAGATTATAAATCATTAATAATGAATTATAGATGAATATATTAGTGTGTCTATGTACATGTATACAGATTCGGCGCGTCGGTCCGTCTCTTTCCATTGGAAACAACCGACAAATAATGACCGGTAGGAATTAGTATCAAGAAAAACAACAACGGAGTAATGTCCACTGTTTTGCATATGGTGCATCTGCATTGGAGATAGGCTCGCTTCTTCCTTACTAATTTCCATTTACCTTGCAAGTTGAGTGTGCTACAATGAGGTACAATGAACAAGTATACGGTAATGATGAACCAGAAATGGGCTTCACACATTGTACCCATGTCGGGAATCGAACCCGGGTCTTCGGCGTGACGAGCGAACGCTTTAACCACTAGGCTACCCGACCGACCCGTGATGACAACGATCACAGATTAATTACCTCAGAGCAAAGCAAAAAACACAGGCTGCTTAGCTAATCAACTGTATTACTTTTCTGAACATGAGGAGAGCTGAAACAACACTTTGACTTTGACTTTGTCCAGGTGCGTAGACAGCCAATTAAGTCGGCTGCGACCCTCGGTTGGGTTAAATAACGGGAAATAAACACCGAGGGCCTATTCCTAAAATAAGTCACTTAAACTATAAAAATAGACGAGTACGCCTGAAAATCAAACAAGTCTGAACAATGATATACTAAAATCCCCAAATAGCTAGACAATCACGGGAAGGTGGGTTATCCACGGATCACTAGAAAAAAACGGAGTATTGGAAACGCTCGTACGTCTTCTGTCTTATCCAAGAATCCATGATGTGGTGACAAAATAATTATTCAGGTTCGATTTCTCGTTGAGTATATATTCTTATCATCTAGTGAAATATTAGCAATACTAAATAAGGAGAGCGACTGAAAGGGATCATTATGAGGCAAATAGTGAATATTTACTGGCTCAATGTTAGATGACACAACACTGAGCATACGGTGAACATTCTGGGATGGTATTGGTCCCAGCTGTTTGCTTGACTGAAATATTCCTTACTTACTGCCGTGCTTGTTGTATAGCGCGTTTCAAGTTGTTTTGCGTTCCCCAAGTTACCGTAAATCCCAGAATAAACACCGTTTAATTATTGAATAAGAACTCTGCTTGAAGCAAAACAACACCTTCTTCGGATAGGCACCGGGTCGGAGAATCAACCGAAGTAAATACAGGCACGACGCTTATTCGAGGATTTACGATGGAACGATGCAGTGGTAAAACGCCAAATGTGAGAACAATATTAGTTCAACTGAGAGTGAATCAAACCATATAAGTGTCACACATCGCATCATTTTCATGACAACAATACATAATATATTCACACAAACACAACCACACTTCTTTCTGCACATACACACACATACCATACACACACATAAGCCATTGAAGCGTGCGTAAACTGTCTTGCTGTAAGGAAAACATTCTCTCTCTTTCTCATGCATGTATTTCCCCCTGTCATTTTACCCCCAAGTCCCACAATTCAACATTATTATCGCCAAAGATTGACGCTGCTTTAGGCGGCTAGAGGATAAATACATTGACGAAACATGTATTTCCCATCCACCTATCCATAAACCCACATGGATTTCACAAAGCAGTTACGAAAAGGGTGCAATGAGTGTATATGAGGCGATATATGCATGGGACAACCTCAAGATACATTTTTTAAAATGTGCTCGCGAATTCTTTTATCAATACACTAGTTTTTATGTCATTTACGAATGCTTCCTCACTGGTCAAAATCTGAAATTTATGCATTTCCTACTCACCGAGTTAAACTTTTTTCGAAATCAGTTTTGCTTCGTTTGTTGTTTACGCCGCACTCAGCAATATTCCAGCTATATGACGGCGGTCTATAAATAATCGAGTCTGGACAGGACAATCCAATGATTGATATCATGAGCATCGATCCACCCAACTAGTATACGATGACATGCATCAATAGAGTCAGCGATCTCGTTAATCATCTCTTACAACAAGCATAGTCGTTTCTATGATAAGCATTGGTTGCCGGAGACTTATTCTACCCCGGATCTTCACGGGTCTCGAAAGCAAAAGAAACTATATCTCTATGATTTTATCATATGTTTGATTTTCAATTGAAAATATCTTAAGTATATTATATCGATATTATATCCCAAAGATGAACTGTACTGGGGCTTAGTCGGCACTCAGAGGATACTTCAACATGGTTTTATTCTGCCCCCGACCTAAAGGGGGCAGAATATACAAAGTTATATCCCGTCCGTCTTTCCGTCCGTCCTTTCGAGGACATGTTGTTGCCCGATATAACTTGAAACCTACTACATAGAGGCTTTTAAAACTTGGTGAACCCTTTCTATACCAACAGGAGAGGTCTAGTGCGAAGTTTGATTTCAATATTTGGATTTTCTGAAAACAAAAATACAGCTATTTTTCTTTTTTTTTATCCTTAGAATTTTTGTACTGAAACATTTGTGCGACCCACAACTGTAAAACTACTGCATTGGTTCTTTTCGAATTTAGGGAATAGTTTCCATACTTATAGAAGAAGTGCAGTGCAAAGTTTCTTTTGATATGTCGATATACTGAGAAAATATTTTTTTTACATGTTTTTAACTTAAAATGTTATTTTTACTTCAACGTTTTTGCGACCTTTAACTTGAGAAAACTGCTTCTTGGATTCTTTTCCAATTCGGGGTATAGTTTTTATACCAATAGGGCAAGTGCAATTCAAAGTTTGATTTCGATAAGGTTTTTTTCATGTCAATTGTACCGTATCCGGCTAGGCTTGCCGGTCGCGATGACAGTGCATCTTTGAATTATGCCATTACTATGATATATTATTGTGCTTTTTTTAAGACAAAATGGCTCAAACATGTACTTCAGCTGATGTTGGAGTCGAGTCGTGGGTATTAGTGAGTTCTGCTCACTTTTTTACTTGTTTTTTCTTAAATAAAATTTAATTTAAAACTAATGAAACTTTCACATAATACACAACTGCCGATGCGTATCTCAGACACCTTATCTTTGAAAATCAATTAATTTGCTTTTTTCGGCACAAATTTACAACAATTCTTACATGGCAGGAACCAAGTGCTTGTAAATTCATTTCTTACCCCAGTCTTAACCAAAGAATTTATTTTTACACCAAATTACCCAGCCACGGATTATGTTTTACAAACTGTTGCAGGAATGAGTGATGGTTAAATAGACACAATCAAATTTAACAACAGTTCGTGCAATGTTCAATTACATAAAAATCAAACTTTGTACACTTTCTGTTGCCCCTCAGTTTAGTAGTGTTTCTGGTTCTGGTGTTTGATGATGGAGGTGGTATGTCGGACGATACACGGGCCGTACAGCCTGCCTCCCCACATCAGTCTAGTAGTGTTTCTGGTTCTGGTGTTTGATGATGGAGGTGGTATGTCGGACGATACACGGGCCGTACAGCCTGCCTCCCCACATCAGTCTAGTAGTGTTTCTGGTTCTGGTGTTTGATGATGGAGGTGGTATGTCGGACGATACACGGGCCGTACAGCCTGCCTCCCCACATCAGTCTAGTAGTGTTTCTGGTTCTGGTGTTTGATGATGGAGGTGGTATGTCGGACGATACACGGGCCGTACAGCCTGCCTCAAGCCGCGACCAGCCTGTGTGAAATGAGGTATTGAGTCGTAAAGCTCACCTCCGGCTCATAGTAATTTGAGCTTACACTTGTAGTCACCATGTTCATACTAACGCCAATAAATCAATCTCTGGCATGAAATTTAGTTCAAAGCCGCCTTCAACAATATTTGGTGAAACCATTTAAGTATCATCAAGAAGTAAAGTGAACGTTTTGTTTTAAAATTATCTTTATAATAATACATTTAACGCACACCAGATGCGTTATGTACTTGACTCGTACGAATGCTTACTTCCTAATGTATGGGTATACTAGGAATAAACTAATCAGACTTTTTGAAGGTTCGGACCTCAGCTTTCCTTTTGTGCACACTAATATTACAAAACAGTGCCCAATGGTGACTCGGTAAGAGAATGATACACGATATTTCGTAAAGGTCTGATGCATGACTGGTCCTATCTCGTACACATTTGTGGCAGTTTTAAAGATGACCGCCGAAACAGGCAGGATAAACGACTGAATAGTTTGAATGTGTGGGCGTTGAAAGCCCTTTACCTAGCCTGAGGCGAGAGTACAGTTTGACAGAATCTAGTTCGAAAATTTAGAACGATGCTTGTCTTCATACTTTATTAGTCTTCATCGACTTTATAATAAACTGAGTGTGTTTGAATTTGCGCATTCATAAGTAAATCATTCGATGTGTATCTGGACAAAGTGACTTTGCATAATATTATTTATATTTTGTCAAACGTTTCGAGTTATATCCGATATTATAATTGCTTCCATCAGTTTCATGTTGTAGAACAAAATCACAAAAATATAATATGCTGTTGAATTTTTGACTG